TTTCCTTTCATATTAGAACCATTATCATAACCTTGTCCCCTAATGTCATCAATGTTAAGACCAAAGGACTTAATGGAATCAACCAAAACATTGAAGAGCCCAGAACCAGATGTGTCATCTACCTTTAGAAAACCAAGAAAGTACTCCTCTATTTTAATTTTACCTTCACTCATGTTAACACATCGAACCAACAAAGTCATTTGTTCTTGATGACTAACATCCAAATGCAATCAAGAATAACCGAGAAATATTTGGCCTCTTTAACAATCTTGATGATAGAATTTGTAATGTCAGAAGCCATAAGAGAAATCAACTCATTCTGAATTTTGTGGCTAAGATAATGATAATGAAGATCATTATTTTGAATACGTCTAAGATGGTCTTGCATTACCAAATCAAACTCTGCGACCATCTCAACACAAGCTAAGAAATTGCCATTTTGGTCATTATAAAGCTGCTCGTTAGATCCTCTAAAAGCCAAATTACGTCTACCAAGGAATTTTACAATGGCAACTATTCTCATCAGTACTTGCCTCATCCGCTCTTTCTCCTTGGAGATTTGCTGCTGTAACTCTTTATCAATTGTCTCTTGTTTGCCTAATCTAGTTCTCAATTCATTCCATGAGTTCATATTGGTAATATGCTCAACAGTAATTTCATGTTCCTTCAGCCTCTCATTGATATGTTTCCAGTCTCTATACCCATCATTCCCCAATGAACTCTTGCACTTTTTAGAATTAAAAAGCTTACAGCAAAAGCAAAATACTTTATCCAAGTGTTTGGAATAAACTAGCCATTTCCTGTCACGTAGCTCTCCATTACTCATTTTTCTATGATAATAAGAATATGCAAAATGCCTTAAATTATCGTCGAAAGGGAATACAATATTATCTTCTCTTATAGGCCCCTTTTCAACTAATATATCCCTTGCTTTGTTATCAAGATTATCCCAATTTCTTGGATCATAAATATCCATGTGACACACCGGTTCCTCATCAAGACTACTATTTTCTGTAGTATTTGAATTAAATATGTGCTCATCATTACTCACATTGTTTTCTTCCATGTTAATGCCAACATTGTCATCAGGAGGACCTTCATCTTCTAGAATAATCTGTGTTGGTTCCTTCCAGACAACTATCGCCAACTCGTTTGGATCTCTTGAAGTGTTTGGATTATTCTTCAAAAATTTATGCATAGAACCCCTCTGTGATTGTATGAACTCATCTATTCGTGCTTTCTTTTTCCTTTTCTCACTGCCGGAAACATACTTTCTTAATGACATGATGTTGTTAAGATTTAGAGAAACAATTAGCTAAAAAAGTAACTCATCTAGACATCTAGTACTGCCAGACTTCATCAGTGGCTCACCGCGATTCGTCACCATCAAATCAGGTCGGGCGGTGTCATGAGATCGCATGAGCGTCGTCGGCAAACTCACTCGTCCGCGTGGCGTCGAGTCCAAAGCGTCTCGCTGAGTCGCTGTCTCGCCTCGCCCCGGCAAGCAGGCAAGCGCAACAACCTACCCTCGCGTCTCACGTTGCGGGTCGCGCCGCCGCCGCATCAAGATTGGCAACAACCAGCCATACCGGAGGAGTCTGCGTGTGGGGCGTGTGGCTTCTCACGGAAGCTAGCTCTTTCTTTCTTTCTCGTCAGCGAGCATCCTTGATCCTTCTCGCGGACGCCAGAGGCCCAGGACTGCAGGCCACCAACGTTCAATGAATCGATCTTGGACTCTGGGCCAAATCCAAATACTAATATGACTGGTAATGGGCCAAATCCAAATACTAATAGGCCACCAACGTTCAGTACTGCAGTTCATCCTTGATCCTTCCGTATGACCGTATCCTGCATACTTGGGGTGGGGCCCTACCTAGTTGGGGGCCAGGGCGGCCGCCCCGCTTGCCCGCATCCAGGGCCGGGCCTGCACTGCCACCCCGTGAGCTCGCCTAGCCACCGCGCGCCCAACTAGGTTGGATCATGCTCGAGATATACTAATTGTGATGGTGCCTTAGTTCGGAATCTCACAAACAACTGAAGATTGATTCAGTCGTGGATGATCTTTTAGCTTATATTCAAGTCATGGCCCACCACTATTATTCTGTGGTGCTTAAGCTTAAAATTGTTTGATAAGTTCCACTGGAAAAAACAACAATTGGTGATACATTAATAAAATTTTGAGATCGTTCTTTTCGTTCATTCGAGAGAGAAAATCATTTCATATGTTTTTATGAACATGTGATAGAGCTGGCACTGCCACCTAACAAGGCACTAACCGATATGCACTGGGCATGGTTATTACACGGTAATTCTAGGCACATGGATGACTGATGCAACTGACCCAATAATAATGTACATCATCCTGTATGTATTAGTTTTCTGAATGTCTTGCTTCATGTCTAAAATTGTGATTAAAGATTGGACTCGATCATTTACCACTCCAAAATAATCAAAGCACATGATGGCATGTCATGTCCTGCTTCTTGTATTTTTTATTCCCTATGGAAGTCCTTTTAAACTAATATTTTCTATTGGAGGCTATGTCTGTAAGAATTTAGTATTTTTTTTGGCTAGACATTAGAAGCAAAAAAATATATTACCTGAATTAACTCTGTAATCACATTCGATATTCCAGTTACTTTAATATTTGATGAAGACTATTTGTATGTTTAGAAGTTCAACAGTTGCGAGAAGGGCGGGCCTGGTGCAAGCGGTAGAGTCTTACCGCCTGTGACCGGAAGGTCCCGGGTTCGAGTCGCAGTCTCCTCGCATTGCACAGGCGAGGGTAAGGCTTGCCACTGACACCCTTCCCCAGACCCCGCACAGAGCGGGAGCTCTCTGCACTGGGTACGCCCTTTTTAGAAGTTCAACAGTTGCGAGCAACTGGTGCAACTGGAAATTCTGGTGGGTATAAGGCTGTAATTCTGGCCTGTTTTGTTTTTTAGACATTGGGCTACTATGTGATGTTTTTTTTGAATCAGGCTACTATGTGATGTTGCAAAGATTGAGAGTGTGTATTTTTCCTACCAATAATATTGATGAAAACACTATGTCCCATGATGGTTTGTGAATTTGTTAGGCTAACTTTGATGCTAACCACAAATCTATGTTGCATATTAACTCCTGCTGTCGAGGAGTGTGGGAATGTTTTTTTTAATGAACTGGAGGGGCTTGCGCCCCTACATGGAATTTATTAAAACTTTAAGAAAACAGAGTTCAGAGTGTGGGAATGTTGAGCTCATAGAGGAAATTGGCTTGAAGGAAAAGAAATAAATAGATCCAAAGAAGCTAAAGAGCTCATTGTGTCCATGATATGTTTTAGGCTGTACATCACCCCTTTTTTGGTATCCCTCTTCTAAACACGGGATGTAAATATGCTTGGTAGGGTGCTGCAAAACATCCTTATTAATGCTTCCTGTGAAGTAAGATGTAAATACTTGAACATAAAATAGCAGTGTTCTTAAAAGTGAAATGATAATGCCATAGTTAAAGGCCTTTAGTTGTAACAATGATTTAACATACATTCTTTCATGAGGAGCTTATGTACCAAATAATGCCATTAATCGTTAGTTTTGAAATGTTATGATATTTCTCATTATTATATTATGATCAGTTAATAGTTTCTTATCGCAGGCTTCCATTGAATGACAAGCTTGTCATGGATGCAATTCTCCTTCCAACAGATGGGCTTTTGTAGCTATTTGTGGTGAGAACCAACAAGCATGATCTGACTAGGAAAAGATATCTGGGTTAGCAGCATGGCTGCAGCTTGCAGTCTATGTGCTTGTTTCATATGAGCATCATGGACTATTTTAGTGTTTCGGATGGAAATTTAGACGGGTATTCTCGACTACCGGCAAAAACTTTGGTAGTACTGAATTTTGGTCTTGCATCTAATATATGAATAGATCTCTACAGATTGTAAGAACCTACTAATTGTTATTGATGTTAATCTGTCTCTGATCCCCGTATACACGTTATATTATTGCTTCACAATCTAACTTACAGAGAGCGCTGGTAGGGCGCCGCGAAGCGCGCTTCCTTTTCTAGTGTATCATCAATACTCATGCTGAGGCAGCGGCAGTAGCCTTTGCAACAAGATTGTCCACTCTGCTCAGCCTACATGATTCAAATTATCTGTCAGACAGTCAAGTACTGGTGAATTTCTTCGACATTGCCAACTTAGCTTCACCACCAGACTGAAGAATAAAACCTTTCACACAAGATCTCATCAACTCAAGCAGAGACAACCAAAACAAGGTCTACAAGATTGACAGAGATTTGTATCTCAGCTCATTCTTTAGCTAGACAGGCAAAATCTTCTGTAGCCTCTATCCCACCCCAACCTTCTGTATCATGCACTCACTCTGCTCATGCCCTCCAGTGCCCAGTAAAGGAAGCACTGATTACTGTAAATTGGATGCCTTCCATGCTACTGTCCGTACGCTGCTATTAAATAAAATGAAGTCTGTTATAAAAAACAGTACCATTGCCAATTACTTGAGCATGAAGATTTAGTGGATTATAGATAAGTCAAACCGTGGCTGTCAGACTGCCACAATTACACAAATCTTACAATACACATAGTTCATTTAGCAACCACCCCACTTCAACACTGTAAAAATGAATATACCTCATCAAATTTACAGCAAACAAGAGTACAAGTCAAGCAGTAACTACTAAAAGGATGCGCGTACACCACCCTTGTTTCAACACATTCAAAGGGATCGGTTATAGACAAATCATGGGCATGATTGATATGCATAAACTCATGGAGACATTTTTGGTTAGTAAAATAAAATCGAGCACATCTTGAAGCCCTTTTCTCCAGCTGTAGCAGCTGATGCTGCTCTGCAAAAAAGCTTTCACTTGCACTGTAATTTTGACACTGAAATGACATTGACTCCAGCATCTTTGCATTCAGTACAAAGAATGTTGCAAAGTTAACTTGTGACCTTATGCCTTGATAATTAGTCAACACAACTGTCGTGAGACGGATGTCAATGCATTTGATAAGTCGTAAGATGTTTACGGGGCCATAAATTCTTTTCTCCCCCCTCATATGACTGAAAAGGAAAAAAACAGTACACGAACACAGTCAATTCAAGAAGAATAGACACAATATTAAACCAGATCCAAAGAATATATGAATACAATGGATGAATTACTAGTTAGTATGTGTACCTTGATATACAACTTCTCCAAGCATGGGAAACATCTCATTAAGTCAATAATCACATCCATGTTAAGATTTTTAATATGGGCTGCTAAAATCTTGACAGTACATGCCGGCGTTGTCGAGTTAATGACCCGGAATTCCTTTTTGCGGCATGGCTGCATGAAACATGAGTCAGCACATTTATAAACTTCGATATTTTCAAAAAAAAAAAAAAATCTGCACACAGAAGAGCAACTCAAACTTATAGGCAATAGGTAGGAAACCAAGAGGTACTTCAATAATCATAGAGCCCAACTTGAGTCTTGAGGAGAAATCAAAACGATTTAGGCAACCCAAGGTCTCCAGATTGGGTGCTGAAATAACTGACACTTGCAGTTGCATGGCTATCCCTCGTTGTTGATGATACAGAATCCTTTTTTAAGGCAAGGGGCATCCTCGACGATGAATTCTTCTAAGAATGTCACTGTTGGTTCATACTTAGCACCCACCCCAATGCTTGTAAGGCTAGCTGAGTTGATCCTGACACAGCGGAAGCCAAAGCTTCTGCGAAGCAGCAAGCCCTGGAGGACGGGAGAACCAGCAATGATGCTATGCAAGGAATCCTCTGAAATGCTGACCCATTGAAGTGCGAGCTTCTTGAGCTTGGGGAACCGAAGCGCCTGGGCGACATCGTTAGAGAGGTGGCAGTGGCTGAGAGTGGCGACGCAAAGGCATGACGAGAACCGGAAGATAGACACCGGCGGTGGTGGCGGTTGCAACACCTCCGTCGCAAATAAGCCGATCCAGCAGTCAATCTCCTGGAGGTTGTCGAGGGCGGGGGATCGGAGCCATGCATCCACAGTGGCGGGGTGGTCCTGTAGTCGTCGTGCGGGGAAGCGAAAGCGGCGACCGGGGCCCTGGTGGGCGGAGAGGATGCGGGAGACGACATCGATGGTGAGGGGGTCGCTGCCGTCAAGGTTGAGAGGGGCGGAGCGCCAGAGCTGGAGCCACCGGGTGGCGAGGGTTTGGGTGCGGGCGGCATCCTTGGTGGGGAGGAGAGAGATGATCTCACCGAGAATGGCGTCCGGGAGGAGGCTGATTCGGTCGACCCCATCTGCTTGTTCTGCTCCGGCTCCAGGCGGCGGATCTTGGATGGGGAATACGTCTTCTCCGGCTCCAGGAGGACAGGAATCAGGCGCCAGCGTCGAGATGTTTGCTTCACTCTCCTGGCCAGGGCTCTTGGATACCTCCGGTTTCCTTCTCTTGGCACGGCGAGGCTCCGCCTGCGTCTCCATGGCCGGTGGGTTGATTTGGGGCGGGGAAGGTGGAAAACTGTTGGATATATTACGGGTGTGGCCTCTATAATATTTAATAAATAAAATAAACTTTATAATCGGTAGCATTAAACGTGGTATGATTTAATATTGTACGAGATTTTGACTGAATGTTTACTTAGCTTATTTAATTGAAAATTATTCATCTTAATTGAGAAGCTGAAAAAAGGACACGAAGGGGAGGCGGTGGGCGTGGCCACGTTTTGCCACTTAATTCACATAACCAAGAGAGTTTCTCTCCTTTATGGAGTTTCTCTCCTTTATGGTGGAGGCGAACTGATTACGCCAGTTACCGTCTCTTCGTGTCTCCGTCTCTTGGGTTCCTCCGCTGCCTTTCTCCCTCCCCACCGCAACCATAAATCTAAAGTCCTCCATCAGTCCAGATCTTCCCCATCGTTTCCGAGAGACCACATCTCAGTTGCCCTTTGGCTTTCCCCGTCCCGTACCTCTACACGCACGGAGTAGCGGGAGAGTAGGTGTCTTTGAAACCCTCGTCCTCCTGCGAACCTTGCACGAGGTGTGCGTGCGATTAGGTTTTTAGGGAGCGATTTTCGCGACTGCTCGTCCGACGTCTTCTTCCTAGTGATTGCTCGCGAAGCTGTCTTCTTCCTAGTGACCATTCATGGGACTGTAATGCGAACACCTTCATGCATCAACTGTGGTCCACGACCTCGAGCAACGCACTATGTCTAGTGCGAATAGAGCCTCCGATGCCCTCGACATGGGACTCTCCGCTGGGTACACTCTTATCTCTGTAATTACAGTACTTTGCGTACTTACTGTATCGATCAGTATATCATATTTGTATGCTGTAGCGTTTGTTAGAGATATACACATGCACATATATGTCGTCACGAATCTGCTGATGTTTTATTTCTGGATTAAATTGACCATGAAAATGTCTAATTATCTAACAATACAAAAACCTAATGTTAGGCAATTTTCTGTCAGTGGTTTTGTTGCTGCTTTGAAGCCAAATAATTTTGATGGCAAAAATTTCATGATATGGCATGCCAAGATGATATTGTGGTTGACTGCAATGAACTGCTATCACGCCGCACAGGGGAAGCCTAAACAATTTACTCCTGAGGAGGAGCAAAAATTCTTGGCTGCCGATAACCTATTTTCGTGGCGCCATGATTAGTGCACTTTATAGTAAGTATGAGAAAAACTACATATCTTTCATATCAGGCAAAGAGTTATGGGATGCTCTTGAGGTAAAGTTTAGAGTTTCTGATGCTGGTAGTGAGCTATACCTTATGGAGCAGCTGTATGACTACAAAATAGTTGAAAACCGTTCTCGAATGGAACAGGCTCATGAGATATAGGCACTAGCAAAGGAAATAGAATATTTTCCATATCTGTTACCCGACAAGTTTGTGGCCGACGGTATAATCGCTAAGCTGCCACCTTCTTAGAGGGATTTTGCTACTTCTCTAAATCACAAGAGACAAGAGTTTAGCGTGGCTGAGCTTATTGGATCTCTTGATGTTGAGAAGATGACGAGAGCAAAAGACAACCGTGGAAAAGGAGTTGAGTCTTCTGCTTGCCAATATAGTGCAGAAGAAAAACTCATTTGCATCCTGTAATAAAAAGAAGAAGAACATGCAAGAGAACAATAATACAAAGACTAAGCAAACTGCTCAATTTAAGAAGAAAAACAACAAGAAAGATGGAGGTTGCTTTGTTTACGGGAGTGATGAGCATTGGACAAGTGCGTGCTCAGATAGTAAATATAAGCAACAAAAGAAATCAGCAAGCGTGGTGATTAGCGTAATTATCCGGTAGAATTCTTTAGGAGGTTCTTTCGGTTTGTCATCTAGGTATGGTAATTCTTTACCTTTTGTTCTTCCGCCTCTGAGTTTCCGTTTTTTCACCCGAGTGGTGGATAAATCAAGTCCTCCGTCACCAGATCTTCCCTTCGCTTCCGAGACATCTCACCCGCCCTTTGAGTTTCCTCGTCTCTCCTCTCTCCTGAGTTCCTCCGCTACCTTTCTCCTCGTCTACTCCCCTTGCACGCAGCCGATTAGGTTTTTAGGAAGCGATTCGTCGCTTGTCCGATCTTCTTCTTGGTGATCGCTCGAGAGACATCTCTTCACCGTGACCTTTGGCTTTCCGCGAACATCTTCTGCATCGATCTAGTCCACGACTTGAGTAGCGGGAGCGAATGGAGCCTCAATGCCCTCGGCATGGGACCCTCGTCCGCCTCTTATCTCTGTAATTAACCTTGCACGGGACGATCACTATATCATATTTGCATGATTAGGTTTTTAGAGATATACACATGCGATATATGGCGCTTCGCTTTTTGTCAGTAAGACGTCTTCTCTCACCGTTCATCCATTCATGAACAATATTTCTCTCTCTTCCAGTGATTCTCGCCAAACCGACGGGCCTATAAATCACACTTAACATGCTGAACACCATGAAAATGCATAATTATCTAACAAAAACGATCGGCCGGTCCCTACGACACTTTCTCGCAACGCACTATATATGCTTATTTGCGATTTTTCATGAGAGCCTCGTTCGTTGCCCTCGGCATGGGACCCTCCGCTAGCGTACATATGTGGAGATCTGTATATAGCCCTCCGTCCCGCCCATGGGCCCAGGCTATCTAACGTTCGGGTTACAGCCTATTTCTAATGGGAATGCAGAGAACAAGTGCACAACAGGGAATTGCTATAACATGATTTGTATGTTGATGATAACTAGTTTGTTGTGTTAGGGAAAAGAGAGAATCAGGATGTATAGCATCTCCGGTAGATAGTCAAATTCGATCTCTTCCTATCTCAATTCAGCACTATCATCCAACAGACTAGCCAACTCTGTTCTCCATATCCTATTGAGCTACTCCATTTTTATTGGTATATAATTTTTACATATTTTTTATAATGAATTTGATACTCTAAAGTTCAAATATTTTTTAGAAGATAAAACCAACTTTGAGATTTTAATTTAAAAGTTATAAAAGCATTTAAGTGTAATCCAGCCCCCATAGGTTCGCCATTTATCTCCATAATAAAATAGTGTGAATTTGGCTTAATAACCTTTTAATTCATGAAGATGATAAAGGAACGGATTTTTGGCGCGAAACCATCAAAACCAACTACGAGCCATCCTGTCAGCCTCACGGATTGATGAATGGCAAGGACTCATCCACATGCCTAGCGGAGAGAGTAGTATGGCATGTGATTATGTGTAAAAAAAGCATTAGCGAGTCGGATGGAATGATCACTGCAGCGTTGCTTTTGCACGGTGGCAAGTGAAATAGCAATGGATGCTCTCTCTCTCTCTCTATGGCGTGCTCGGGCATAGTACACTCCAGTGGTGGAGAAACAAGGACAACTCCTTTGTGTATTCGATCACATGCATTTAGGGCGCCTATAGCTCTAAGTGGAAACAAAGCATGGAGCTAAGCACTTTTATTGGGATGAGTCCCTGCCCATCAATCTGCTTGGTTTCGATATATCCGCCTGACTCCTGCCACATTACAGCGTGAGATGGAGGGCGCTTGGGGTGTGTTCGGCTCAGATTGATGTTTAGACATCCACATGGGCGTGAGGTGGGGATGGAGTATTAAATATAGACTAATTATGAAACTAATTACACAATTGGGACTCTAGGCCCTGCTTAATTTGCGAGAATGTTTAGACATGATGGATCTTTTCAAAACTAATTAGTCCATGATTTGATAACATGATGCTAGTTCATGATTTGAAAACATGTGCTAATGATGTGCTAACTATTAACTAGGCTTAAAAAAATCGTCTCACAAATTAGCCTTCATCTATGTAATTGGTTTTGTAATTAATCTATATTTAATGCTCTTTATTAGTATCTAAACATTCGATGTGACATGAATTTTAGGAGTGACTAAAGAACCAAACACCCCCTTAAAAGTCTTATATATTTACAAAGATTAAATTGGTTGGGAACAAGACATTGTCACAACCATCTTAAACAGGAGGGTTTTTTTGTTGAGAACTAGAACTTTGATCATGACATAGCTAGTAGGAGACTTGTTGCTATGATGGTGTTGCATGAATACCCCTTGGGTATGGTTGACCATGTTGACTTTAGGAGTTTTGCACATGCACTCCAAGTGCTATTTCCAGATTGGGATCCAGAAGCACAATAGGTTATTGTGTGCAAATGTTAAGTTCAACTTGCTTTTATGCTGATGTTGCTGCTAGTGTGGTGTTGTTTTATATTGTTTGTGTATGTGTCATTTCGTTTGAGAAATACATAATTAATGAATATGAATTGGAGTGGAAGAAATCCATCAATATATGGTTGGAATCAAATCTAAAGTTGCCATCACTAGTGACATGTGGACTTCTGATAACCAAAGAGAGGTTACATGACCATCACAGCACACTATTTATTGATGAGTTTTGGACTTTAAGAAATATTATTATGAGATGAGCAACTTAGATTTGTGTACTCTAGTTCAATTCATATGTTCACTGATCATAATTTCTCATAATGTTTGCTAATCTTTTATAGGTTTGTTTATGTGTTAAGTCCTCACACTCATGAAAGTCATTGGTGATGAACTCTATGAGTCCCTTGTTGACTGGAATCATGATGAGAAGGTATCAAGTATCAACAATCACTCTTGACAATTGCAGTACAAATGATGTAGCAATTCCTTATCTTGTTAGGAAGATTGGCAAAAGTAGCTTATGGCTGATGGGAAATTCTTACACATGTGTTGTTTTGCTCATATCCTTATTCTACTAGTTAAGGATGGACTAGAACAACTAAAAGATGCCAATTTTTTTGTGATATAGCTTAAGTACTAGACAACCACATCAAAAAGGTTTGAGAAGTTTAAGGAGATAGATAGTATGTGAATGTTACTATTGAGAAGAAGACAGAATTTGCACCAACCTGTCAATTTGTCCCTCTTTTTTCCCACGATTCTCCTTTCTTGTACCTTATCTTGGTTTTCATGTTAAATCTACATTATATTCATTCTCAAGTTATGTTATCATGGTAATGTTCAACAAAGATATCTAATTGTGGTAATGAGATGCAAAGTACCTCCAAAGGATGTGGGTATGATCAGCTAGGAAAAGTTAGGGTAGAATGTATTTGTTTAATTAGGTGGAACATAAAATATACGATAACAACAAGAGGATTTAGTTGCCTGCTATAATTGGCTCCAGTTAGATTGGTTTTATAACACTAAACAAAGAAATCATAATTGCTACAACATCGATGAAAAAGGACCAACAAAAGCATGTTATAATTGTGTGAAACATGGCTCTAATAAACACTATTTTAAGTTTCTAAAAGAAATTTTTGGTACAAGAGAGTGGTAAAGAACACACCAAAAAATTGTAATTGCATACAAAGATTTCATAGCTATTGATGTGTGACTCGATAGGACAATGATGGATGTCATGAATGGGCATGGGAACAAGGGTGGAGCATAGAGTTCTGTCATAGAAGAGGTGCATGTACATTTCTTGAAGAGGAATAATAAATCGATGCTTTGAAACTTGTCTTCGTGCGACATTATATCTACTATGAATAGAGCTATTTCATTTTCACTTGTCTTTGTGTTTTTTGCTAATATCTGTTTAGTGCATTTATTTGCACGTATTTAGGATTATTTGCATAGTTCTTTTTGTCTTAGGTAATATATAGCGTGAGTCTCTTTTCTATCTTTATCTATTTAAAAGTATATATGCATGGAAAATAAGAATTGGGATATATTATGTATTAACTTGCAACAAATTCTTTCACATCTTTTTTAATATAAATTCTGATAGAAATCCTAAGATATGTAGCAGTTGTTACACTAATAAATGCATGTTTCATGTATTTATTTATATAATTATTAAATATTAACTACCCAACCTCTTCTCCATGATTCTTATTTTTGATTTGATACTATCCCTGCCATGCATTTATTTCTATGAATATTGAATACTCTAGCAATTCTTCAAAACCCTATCTTATATTTGGATACCATCTCACTCGTAGTTTATGTCTTTGACTATTGAATTCTTCAAAACCCTATCTTATATTTGGATACCATCTCACTATTCTTGTATTTATTTCTATGTTTGATACTCTAGAAATCTCCACAATCTGTCTTATTGAATCTCTAGTTTAATTGATCCCCAACTTTATCTTTTAGATTTGGATAATATCCTCTTCAATGTATTCTGGTGATAGCATGGTGATATTTATTTCTATGGCTATTGAATACAAAAGGCTAAAGAAATCTCCACAATAGGAGCCATTTTGTTTTAAATCTAGGTAATATCCCTCCCATGTATTCTATAGCTAAGAAGTTATTCCACTCAACTAATGTTGCATATGCATTTAGGATCTATTTTAATATTTATTTCTACTATGCAAACATCAATGCTCTAGATCTCCATTTTCCTTTTCTACACTCCTTACTTTGTTTTTGTAACTATAAACCATAGGTGAAGTTTGATTTGATGTGGTCAGGTCTATGAAGATATAGAATTATCATAATGAGACACAAAATGGCATGAAGTGACAACATGCGAGATAGAGATAGAGATAGAGATAGAGAGATAGATAGAGCTTAGAGCGTTGTGTGATGCATTGGTAATGATTGCTAAAGAAGTAAGGTCACATATGATGCACGATCGATGACACCTCCTCATATCCACAGAGGAAGGGGTACACGGATGGGTCCGGCCAAGGGGAGCTCTCTTGCATATTTTCATTGACATAGCAACCTTGTGGGGTACAATTGTGAGATGGAGGCATTGCTTGAGTGATTGGTGGCACTGGTATTCGTAGAGACAGTTGGATGGTAGGTTGTTCGTGGCCGCCTTCGGTGATTGTGAGGGGAGTTGTACCTTCCCCATGGAGTGCCGAAGAACTCTAGTACCTCACTAGTAGTTCTTGCGGTATATAAGACACATTTGTCTCTTGTGTACAAAATTCATCGTGTAATTGGTTCATTCCAGTGGGACAAATATTTACATAATGGTGTCATGCAGCATGGGAGAATTGAGAGCTGGTGTAGCAAGAGCTGTCATGTAGATGATGGAGAGTGGTCAAGTGAGCAATGATCATCACCTGGAACTAGAATTGTTGGATAGGTGGCTTGCAACCCTTGTAGAGCTAGAGCAAGTTTGCATTTCGCTATTTGTCTTACTAATCAAATTGCTCTAGTTGATTTGTAGTTTTTAAATAGGCTATTCACCCCCCTCTAGCCAATGCTAGATCACCATGTTGGTAGATTATATGCTTAGAAGCATTATATAGAAGATCTAGATGATGAATAGAATGCTTTGTTATAGTTGCCATAAATGATCAATGTAACACTCAAAAGCAATTAAAATTATCACATTGCAAACTGAACCCTAAAATCAACATGGAGGGGGTGGGGCAAAAGGACCCCGATGGCTTGTGAAACATATGTCACAGTCAAGTGGTGGAACAGAATGTGTGACCGAATGTAGATATGATTGCGCAATGGTAGCCTTCTCCAACTCCAATCGCCTTCCACGTGAATTTAGAACAATTAAGTTTTTGTTCATTTCTAATTTCTACTACGTTGGTCAACAACGGGTTGACCGCAACACCGTGACATGCGAATGAATATTGCGTGAGCGAGTGGAGAGTGCCTCCGTGAACCCTTCCTCCATGCGGTGAGTTTTTAGTGTGCATGCCACATCACCCCCACTCCTATGACCTCGTTCGCTTCGCTGAAAAAAAACCGAAATACTATTTCAACTAATTTGTTGTGAGAGAAAAACGCTGTTTCAGCTGAAAAAAAAACAAGCAGAAAAGTACGGAATTAAGCGAACAGGGCCTATGTGATAAGCATCCGGTGACGACGGTGAGTCATGACATGAGGCGTTCAAAGCAAAGGTGAAACAGAGCGCCCTCCTTGTCCGCGCCTTGGGCTTTTACGCTCGCCTGCAAACACGGCTCAACAAACACCCAGCCGCGTCTCCGAAGAGCGGAGAGACTGAGAGAGAGAGAGAGAGAGAGAGAGAGAGAGAGGAAAAGAAAAATAAATAAAAAGAGACGAAACAAACACCGTGGAAAGAGCGCAAAAGGAGCCAAAACTGCTCTGCTACGCCCGTCTTCTAGACGGAGGAGAGAGACAAGACAGGTTGAGAGGAAAGCAGCGAGCGAGAGGGGGGCATCAACGGAAAGAAAGGAAAAAACTAAAATAATCGTACTGTAGAAGAAGCCCCGAGCCCAGGAGATCCAACAAGGAAACTCCCCCTCCTTCCTCGTCTTCTTCTCCCTCCTGGCTCCTGGCTCCTGGCTCCTGGCTCCTGCCGCCGCGCCGCGCTCCACCTCCACCCTCCGCTCCCGTCCCGTCCCCCGCCACCTCCCTTTCGCCGCACTCGAGGCTACCTACCTCGACCGACGGGCCCCGCACCCGCCCGCCAGGCGCCACCTCCCGCAGCCGCAGCAGGACGAGCTCGCCGCCGCCGTGGACTAGGTACGTGCGCCTCCACCTCCCAGTCCCGTTCTGGCGGTTCTCACGGCGGAGCGGGAGGACTCCTCTCCTGCGCCGCCGTTTACTGGCCCGCGCCCGCAGTCCGTGTTGACCGTTGCGTTGCGTTGCTCTGCCTTTTGTTTTTCATCAGAAGGAGAGGTCGCTGTCGGTCGCCCCGCCCCATCCTGATTCCTGGACCTGCGCCGCGTGGTTTCGCCTCAGGTAGGCGTCCCGTCTTCGCCCCGCGCGTCAATTTCACCTAGGCCACGCCGGTTTTAGAGGAGCTGGGGGGCGTTCCGACTCCGAGCAGTTCCTGACATTCGTAGTGCAGGGGTAGTAGACGATGAGCATTCTAGGTTGCTCCTGCCTGCGATATGCCTGCAAATTCCTGCTTATAGTGTTGCCATGCCTGAGCTCTTCATCCTGTTTATGTTTACTGATCCATATTTCCCGCTGTTGCAGGTTGTTGGAGAGGCTCGATTTGTCAGGTTAACTTGCATAATTGAAGCTTTCCTTTGTTGATGATGGGGGCATGCCATGGACCGGAAGTCAGGGGGTTAGGGTTTGCTATGTGGTAGTAGCTCCTGCTTGAGCAAAAGAAGCAAGGATCTCTTCGCTTCTTTTGTCGCTTGTTCCACGGAGGATCTGAATCCTGTCGGCGCTGGTTCGGGTGGCGTCAGCTGTTCTGGGTGGGGTAGTATGATGAAACAGATATTTGGACGGCGCAAGGCGTCCAAAACCGCAGACAAGGAGTTCGCTGGCGGGAGGACGTTCAACCAGCTGTTGGGGTCTGGAGCTGCTGACCTGAGTGGCCAGCCGCCGTTTCTGTCGGGTACTGGGAACACCTATGGGAGTGGAAACCGTACCGGGTTCCAAGACTCGAGGATAAATGATGCTTTGTTCTCTTCCACCTTCCGGCCGTTGCCGAGCTTTAAGGATGTGCCTAATACAGAGAAACAGAATCTGCTCATAAAAAAGCTGAACATGTGCTGCACTCTGTTTGACTTCACAGATGCGGCAAAGAACATAAAGGAGAAGGAAATAAAGACCCTAATGTTGTTGGAGATAGATGAGTATGTCAGGACTGCTACCGTGAAGTTCCCTGAGATTGTTGTGGAGGCAATCACAAAAATGATCTCAGTGAACTTGTTCAGGACACTAATTTCCCCACCCAGGGAGAAGAAGGTGCTTCAAGCTTTTGATCTAGAAGAGGATGAACCATTGATGGACCCTGCGTGGCCACACTTGTACCATGTGTATGAGTTGCTCTTGACATTTGTTCAGTCTCCAGAAAATGATGCTAAACTGGCTAAGAGATATATTGACAATTCCTTTATTCTAAGGCTGCTTGAGCTCTTTGACTCCGAGGATGCTAGGGAGAGGGATCGCCTTAAGACGATTCTTCACCGTATCTATGGGAAGTTCATGGTGTATCGGCCATTTATCCGGAAAGCTATCAATAACATATTCTACCAGTTCATATATGAAACTGAAAAGCACAATGGAATTGCAGAGCTCTTGGAGATTTTTGGAAGTATCATCAATGGGTTTGCTTTGCCACTCAAGGAAGAGCACAAACTGTTCCTTGTAAGGACCTTAATCCCACTTCACAAGCCAAGGTGCACTACAGTGTACCATCGACAGTTGTCTTACTGCATTACACAGTTTGTTGAGAAAGATTGCAAGCTTGCGGATACTGTTATTAGGGGCCTCATAAAATATTGGCCGATCACCAACAGCACAAAGGAGGTACTGTTCTTGGGTGAGTTGGAAGAGATACTAGATGCAACACAGCCTGCCGAGTTTCAAAAATGTATGGTTCCTCTTTCTCACCAGATCGCTCGCTGCTTGAACAGCTCTCACTTCCAGGTAACAATTGTTCCCTCTAAGCAACTTTATTTGTTATCCGTTTCTATTTTGCTTGAGTTGTTGACTTGTTGGGCCTACTCTTCGGTTGTCAGCATTGAATTAATTGTGCCAGTGAGATAATTATCATATTTTGCTTGGCTAAATGTTATTCTATGCTGGTTGTTATAATAGTATTACCTCCTTTCACCACTAACTTAAAAATCATTTCACTTTTTTATTCTGTTGATTTCCAGTTTACTTTGTCAGAATTCTTTGTCAAATGTGTTTGCTTGAATGTGCATATCATCAATTTAATCTCCCTCTTTGTTTAGTATTTATTTTCTATAGCCTTAATTGCAATAGCTGAACGGAAGAAACATAGTTCCTGTTTCCTAATTTGTATTTTGATTTACTGTCATTGTCATCTTGAATTGCTGATGATAGAAAAGGCAGGCCTCATTTAGCTTCTGAGCATCACTATTTCATGGGTTTTTTTTCTGTGCAACCTAGTTCACCACAACTATTTTAGTACTTAATAAAATAGCATATGCTCATGCCACTAAATGTATTCTTTTTGTGAACTCAAATTAATTTGTCATGTGCTAAAATTTTACTATCACCTATTATCTTAACTGTTCATTATCAGTTAGTTGTGAAAACAACACAACAGAGTACTTGATTTTTTGATTTTAACAGTTATTTAACTTTGTGAAAATTTGGGCTTCAGTTATAGTTGGTTGCTAATAGCTCATTGTGTGCACATATTTCCATTCTGTCTAGTCTATAGAGATTTGCTCTTTGAATGGCCTTTTACTTTGATAGTGCAAAATCAAACCATCGACTATCTAAAGAAAGGAAATGATTTAAGGAAGAGGTACAGTACTTTCAACAGCTAGAGGTTTCTTCTGAAACATTTCTACCCACATTGGAGTTAATACTGTAAGCAAAAAAAAAAAAAAAGTTCCCTTATTTTTTTCAACTAGTAATTGAACTGATTGATCTCCATATAGTTAGGACTCTGGATTCCTAAACGTTTCTTTTGTAAAAAGATATGCTCCTGATGATGTTACATAGGAAACTAAGATTGTTTTTCCTTAGGTTAAGGCCCTGTTTGGATGCAAAGTATGTTTGGAGTTTTAGATAAATACCATGGTTTTATGAAATACATTGGTTTTAGAGTGACATGAAGTGTTTGGATGCAACAAACTTTGTGGTTTTGAATACCATGGTATTGCTAAAACTGTAGTCCCTTTTGGAGTTTTAAGAACTCCACTCTATACTTCTTTTTTCTAAACCATGGTTTTGCACATCAATGGGTTCTAAAACTGTAGTTTCTTAATACTACAACATCCAAACAAGGCCTAAAGGGTAGTATATGAGCTATGAAGATGAGAATTGTAGCGATGATTTCCCAAAACTAAAATGTTTTGGTTTCCCCTCATTTTTGTACATTGGCTTTGAGTTGTGTTGACGGCAAGAGCAAGCATGTTGCCAACCATGGGCATGCACCATCAAGCATGTAGTATCCATGTAAAGAAATGTTTTGGAACTCAGGAATAAGTTACTGCAAGTGCTGAGATTAATCACTACCTGCATGTGAGCTCATAAATGTTTTTCATTTCCTTGGTGTTAACTATATGCTGTATATGAAAACCTTAAAATGCTCTGCATGATCATGGCAAAATAGGCATTGACCTAATGAAAGAGTACACACAAAATTACATAGGTGGCAACTAGTGCTATATACGTGTGGTACCTCTATCTGGAATTTTCTAGATTTGTTTTGTCAAGCTGATCAGTGCATCATATTGCCCTTACTAATAAAATCAACTCATTTCGAGTTACTTATCTTTTTTTACTACCTCCTCTGATCTGAAGTATGTAAGTCCATTTAGTTTGTTCTAACTTTATTAGCTTTGACCATTAATGATTGAAAAGTTATATAGATTGATAACATGAGGTTGTGCTACTATATTCATCATGGAACATAATTTCATAATATATAACTCTTTCTAGTTAAACCAATATTCTTATAAATATTATTAGTCAAGACTTGATTTATTTCTCTATTGCTGTCTATATTAGACGTTCTGATTGCTAAAGTGTTATTTGTGTACTTGCGCAATAAAAGGGAAAATGGGGCCTGACCTTGTTACCCAATACTTATTTACTTTTACCATTGTCTTTTTGTTCTGTTCTGGTAATTGGCTTGTCTATTTACCCATGGTTTTGTGCTTATTTAGGTTGCTGAGAGAGTATTGTTTTTCTGGAACAATTCCCACTTCGAGAATTTCGTTAAGCAAAACAGTAAGGTGATCCTGCCTATCATCTTCCCTGCATTGGAGAAAAATATAAATGGGCACTGGAATCAAGTCGTGCAAAGCCTTAGTCTGAATGTACGGAAGTTATTCTCTGATCGCGACCCTCAGTTGTTTACTGAATGCTTGCGGAAATATGAGGAAGACAAAGACAGAGAGAAGGAATTTAAACTGAAGCAAGAGTTGGCATGGAAACGTCTAGATGAGATTGCATCGGCAAAGGTCACAAGTGGTGAGGCTGTCCTTGTGTCTCCAACCTTGCCTCGTCAACCTTCAGTCTTGTAGGAACCTGCACTACATGAGTGGTAAGCAAGTTTATTGTCTTCTGTTCAATTGATTCAGTTATTAGTTGATCTCCTGCAGTTTTGGTAATACCTTGTGTCATTGGTATTTCCAGGTCCTTGCAGAGTCGTTAGACATTGTACAGGATTGGGTTGTAGATAAAAAGGGGGTATATGAAGCCACCAAGGCAGGTGTGCGAAACTGAGGAAAGAGATCTGAGAAGCCAATTGTGCATCATTTCTGTAAATCCCATGCCATGGCTTCTTGTGGCATCCTGGTGCTTCAGTCTGCTTCTGTAGTCCGTTGTTTGGGAGAATGGATGGTTTTTTTTTCCTTCTTATTATAGAAAATGTTGAGATGCCGTGCAGTCAGCTTAAATGATAAAAGTTATAAGTTTTTCCTTTCGCATATAGTTTTGATTCAATTTGTCATGATTGTGAATGCAAGCGAATCATGTCGAATCCCTTGAGAATGCTGTAGCGCGGAGGCGGCAGTGAAGTTCATCCTGTGTGACTCCTCTCCGTACGGTCGCATTTGTGGGGAATTTGTTTTATTTTATTTATCCCCAGGTAAAAGTATTTTAATTCTTTCCATCGCACCGAGAGCCATGACGCGGCATTTTTTTTTGAGAAATGACGCGGCAGATTAGTACATGGATACCGTAGCGTTGCTATGAACATTTATGGTTATATACTAGTGTCGCCGCGAACATTTTTTTCTACATATATGCTAGGGACCCTATATGCTATGATTGAGCGATAATGATTAATTAATGATACAATTAAGACGTCCGGACGGATGGACGCCTCCCACTGCTCGCTCCCGCACGCGCCACTCCGACCCATTCTTATCCCTTCCGCACTTGCACCCTACCCACACCGACGACGTGGCCATGGTTGCCTCCGTGGCTGGCGGTGGCACCCTCACCTACCCCGCCATGCGCGCTTCCGCACCTCGGTGTCCTCCCCCCCACCCTGGCGGCTCCTTTCCCCACCCCGACACCGCCCCTCCCCCAACCGGGTGTCCTCACCCATCGGCCCCGGCCTCTATCCCTCTGTATAGTTTAATTGTTTCAGACGTTTCAAAGGCATGCTGCAATAGTTTCATATGGATGTTGCAAAAGTAAATCGGGGATGTTGCACATGTTGCATATGTTGCAAGTGTTTCAGATACATGTTGCAAACGTTTGTTCAAACTGTTTCATCTGTTTCCAGACATATGTTGCAAGTGTTTTGATCTGGATGTTGCATATGTTTTCACACACATGAAGTGTTTTCATGTGTTTTTTGCAAGTGTTTCATACACATGTTTTGAGTGTTTTAGCCGTTTCGTACGTATGTTGCAAGTGTTTTATCTGGATGTTTCAAAAGTAGATCCGGTGTTGCAGCTATTGTTTCAGATGCATGTTTCATGTGTTTCATCTGCCTTCAAACGTATGTTGCAAGTGTTGCATCCGGATGTTTTAGAAGTAGATCGGGTGTTGCATCTCTATCTTTGCTTTTCTGTTGCCTCACCTTCGCCTCGGTGTCTCTTCCTCCTCTCGGCGCCGGCTAGGCATCCGCCGCCCCCTCCCCTCTTCTGGATACTGGCGCAACCACCTGCTATAGTCACTTGTTGCAGTTTGCTGGCCGCGTGCATGTGCATGAGAAAGCGGAGGGGTCGCGATCGGGGACTTCCCACGTACAGTCGGGCGGGTCAAGCGGTGCGGACCCCGCCTCACAGGATGTAGGTGCGCGAGGAAGATGGAGTGCAGGCGTGGACGTCCGATCAGACGTTCGGGAGCTAGCACTGCCCATCATTGAGTCACGTCCTGATTGGTGTGACTGTTATGTTGCCGTGAATACTTTCTAGTTTCACCTATGGCGTGATTGAATCATGCATGACTATTATGGGGTTCAAGCCGATTAAGAAAAATCTAAAACAAAAGACAACTTTTACCAATCAAGTGCGATCTATGTTGCTTGATCTGGTGGAATTATAGATTTTATATTTTCAAAAAAAATTCTTCTATAGTTCCGAAACAAATTCTTCTTGTAGTGCTATATCTAAGTTCTCCATTAAGTTGTTTTTTTCTTGCCAATCCGAAACGAAGTACCTAAAGACCTTTAAAAATATCTAAGTTCTCCATTAAGTTGTTTTTTTCTTGCCAATCCGAAACGAAGTACCTAAAGACCTTTAAAAATCTTATAATTCTTTTTAAGTAAATGCTAAAATTCAAACACAACCCATTTTACTTGGATGTAGTACTATAAAATAAAATTATTTCTAGAATGGTGTACTTGAATTTTCTGTTAAGTCGTTTAGCCCAAAATGGTTTATGAAAATATGAGAAAAAGCATATAAATTCTTGGTCTAAAAATTAGTATTTTGTCATATAATTTTCCAACATACGTGCTCAAGTGAAATCAAAGTTTCTTAACAAATTGCATGTTTAAAGCATTCAAAGGAAGCTCAAATTTTCTATGGATGCTAAAAACAATGCACACATATGACATGTGATGCATATAGTGCATGAAACATAGAACATGTGGTCATTTAATCATTTTTGAGAGTTTTAAATTAAATTATTTATATAAGCATTGCAAAATGTTAATATATGGGCTATAGTATAACCTGTAAATCAACTCCGTTTATGATATTTTTCAAGAGATGACATACATTTATGACAAGAAGATTGCTTTGTTGTCACGAGGGCAACCCCAAAATCATCACGGTGTCTTATTTTATGACAATGCTTGTCATAACTGTTTACTTATTTTTTAACAAAGCAATGCTTATGTCATTCATGCCAACAAACATAGACTATCGGTAAGAGTGGGTCCGGTCCCATGAATTAAAAAACATCACCGTATAAATTTGAAGTTTATCTTTTGAATTTCGTAGGTCATTAATGATTAAAAATCTAGGCATAACCTTGAATCCATTTGCCCTATTAATTTAAAAGCATCTAACACTACTACGCGAATGCTTTGTAGGGACGGCTGAAGATGCTTTGCAGGGGTGGCTCGGCTAACCGCCCCTACCATACCGTCTCTACAAATCATGTATTTATAGGGACAGTTTTCAGACCACCCCTACAAATCAATTTGTAGAGGTGGCCAGTAACACCAGCCGCCCCTACAAATCAATTTATAGGGGCGGCTGATGTCAGTCGCCTCTACAAAATCAATTTATAAAGACGACTGTAGCACCAGCCGCAGCCGCCTCTATAATATCTGTTTGTAGGGACGGTTTAGTTTAGAACCACCCCTACAGTATATTTTTTCGCTAAAAAAAATTTAAATTTACAATTCAAATTCGACCGGTATATATATATATATATATATATATATATATATATATATAAATAATTCAAATCTGACCACAAGCACGAGAGCATTATATAAACTACCATTACAAGTTTCATACAAGTTAAACTTCATATCACATTAGCTACTCTAGGTCCCAACAAATGCATTTGCCGAGATGCTCTGCTCCTCTCCACCTGCCGTTGCTCCTCTCAAGCCCTGAAAAGAGAAATATAAATGCAGGACAATAAGACACTAAAACCATAGAAGTAGAGAGCTGAAAATTCTTTAAATAGAGCTATTTTAAAATGTCTGCAACCTACAGATAGAACTAGCCAGAATAAACAGGTCATTGCAAATTTACTCCAGGCTAATCACGTGAGGGAGAACTATTAATTAATATAATAGAGATTGCACTCGTGATCGCTTGTCACTGTTGCACGAAAAAGACAACTCACAAAATGAAACCTGTGCCAAGTGATGCACTATGAGAACTGAACTAACTTCACAAAATTCAGAAACTGAAACTCTGAATATTGACTGAACTATCAGCTAAAATCCTGAAAACTGAAACAAACCGCAGAACAAAAATTCACTCACTGAAGACAAACTATAGCTGCTACTCCTGTCAACATTCAAACAACAAGAAAGCTACCGGCCAGCTAATCTGAGCTGATGTACACTGAAAATAAAATGTAATTGTCGGCCAGCTAATCTGAACTGCCGGCCAGCTAATCTGAAGATAAAATGTAATTGCTTCCTGTAGCCTGAAAATGGCACTTCAAACTGAAAAAGCAAGCCACTGAACTGCTGTTGTTGCTGTACTTGCAACTAGACAGTTGCCTGCTACTATAGCTACACTTGATTTTTTTTTCACTTTTATCAATACATCAGGTTGTCATGGGTAACACACAAAACAATATAATAAACCTACATCAGGGCAAACATAACTCACCTAGTGCAATGCAAACATAACTGACCTAGTGCAATGCAAAGTGCAATAACTCAAATGGCAATTTGCCGGATGACTCGTAACCCTTGTGTAAGCTGCAAAGGTCACAGTGTGGCTTTAGAATATGCTACTGAAAATATATGGGATCAATTTTTGTATAGAACTATTTTCCCAAATATTACGTCTCAATCCTTCACCAAATAGGGCAAATGGAAAAGAAATTTATATCTTTACCATAAATTGGATAGGTAACGAAGCAATGCTTACTGTAAAGAGAAGGATTCGTACGGTGAAAACTGCCCCTGTTCCACACGGAGGTGGATGACAAGCTCAAACTGTCAAGAATTTCGTGGGTTAGATTTGAGATGGAGAGCAAGATACAGATCGATTTGGGGAGAAGACGTAGAGGTAAGACCAATGAAAATGGAAACGAGAACCTGCTCGGATGTACCCTCGACTCGCAAGACCTCCACCAGGTCGTCGTTCGCCCGTTGTCGCCTGCCGTCGTCGCTTCCAAACACGCGGATCTGATGGCGAACTCGCTTCCCAGCCGGGTTCCTAGGTCGATGGTGAGGAGGGAGGCTGGAGGGGCGCTACCATACCAGCGCGCTGCCAGACGGGGGCTAGGCCGCTCGGAGCTGCCACGCTAGGCTCTCCGCAATGACCCCGCGCCGAGGCCGGGCTGCCGCGTCGCTGCGACCCCGCACACGGGCACGGGCACGGCGCGCAGGGCCTCCACGTCGCGCACCAAGAGAGGCTCGAGTGCCAGCGCCCTGCTCCGCATCGTGTCTGCCATGGCCGGAGGGAGGCACGCTGAGCGGTGGCGGCGATGTCTGCCTCTCTGCGGCTACGGCTGCGCGTGGGAGGCCATGCGAGGGAAATGGCTAGGATTAGGGTTAGAGGGAGGCAGGGAGGCTTATATTGCTCACAGGATGAATCTCAACCGTCCGCTTACAGATCAAACGG